GGTACTCTATTATCCCAATGTGTGACAATGGTGTAGCTGAGTGGGCATGGTAAGCCCCCCCCCCCCCCCCCCCCATCGAATGACCAAACAAAAAAGGGAGCAGAACAAAAATACGTAAAGGGAGAGAAAGAGATGGTAGAAAGTTCATGAAGGGAGAGCGGAGAAGGAACGTGAACAAAAGACAATGGGACCCCTTCCGGCTTCCTTTGCTGCTCAATTACCTCGTTGCCTTGCTTTTACTCCGATGCCCCGATGCCCCCGCCGCCCCCCCCCCCCCCCCTCCCACTCCGGGGTCGGAATTTATACCAATGTTTAGAGCATGGGTCAAGCATTCTCAATTTCCTTTTCAAAATTGTCAAATGCTACTATAATGTTTTCTTCCCTTTGTTTGTCAAGCCTAGTGTAGTGCAAATCACTCGACTTCGACAATTGGTTTAGTCTCTATTTTGAAACAGGACTGCCATATATTTCATTACCACAAAACTAAGCGTATCCGTAAATAAGATGACTCTATGCGATCAATTATTTCGGCAAAGGTATGTTTATTACGATTCAGTATCTATAGGAAATTTAATCCCGCTGATTTGTTTTCAATATCTTGAGTTTGAGTTTCTGTTCCTAGAGCGATCAAAGGCCACGAAGTTGGTGATTTACAAAGATAATCTAATCTAAGCAAGCTATTAGCAAAATCTGATAACCACTCAGTTGAAGTGCTGTTTTCATATATCTTCTCCTCAACTGATAAAATTCGCAAATTAATTTTAAGATATAAATATGGTACCTCGTCGGATTCATCGCCGAATCCGCCCACCTCGTAAAGATAGGGTATTATTTATCCAATTACAAAAAATACATTGTTGAAAAATGTGTTTCAATTTCCAATCATTTTAATACACAATTTTACTGCCCAACGGAACTTTGCTTTACTAGCATTTGGTATTTAACTTTACAAACACATATGTTTTATGACATAACACAATTTAAACATTATTAATTGTTTTGAATTCAATTGATTAAGATCATCATAAAAAAAAATACAAAGACATTCCTTGATTAATAAATAAAGACCAGCCGATGACAGAACTACAACAGTCGTTGCTTTTAATTTTTTTTTTTTTGTGCTCAGCATTTCTTGTCAAATAATACTCGAATTGGATGGTTTTAATAGCAATATTCAATGTAGGATACTCGTGTTATAGAGGGTTGACAAGTGCTTTGTATTATCATAGTAATCATATGAGCATAGACAGGGGCAATAAAAGTAACCAATATACAGTTAGAAAATAGAATTAAATTCAAATTTGTGGATGACATGTATCATAAATATACAAATAGCCTTAATACAAAAGAAGGATCAAAACGAGAAATGTTGAATAAACAGACAAAGTGGGATTCGAATCATAGTTGAAACAAACGAACAAAACTAATTGCAGGAAAACAAAGAAGTACAGCAATAAATCAAATGAATGTTTAGTGTTTATATGATTGTCTTTGATATTAAGTTATGGAAATAAACGTACGGCATGTCAATTCATCGGATCCGTCTGTACAGTCTGCCTTGAAGTCACAAACTAGGTCGTCATCTATAAGTGGTCCGCTGGTACATTGAAATGCATCACCTGTAGGAGTATTCAAATTTGAAATCGAATCCTAGCATAATACTGTAGGACTATCATGAAAATAAAACAACAAACAAACCAACAAAAATAAAGCATGATAATCATACATACTTTAAAGATAAAACATTTTCCCCCTTGTTATTCTGCTTGTTTGTCTTTATTTCCTTAACAATATGCTAAATCATGAATACGTATTAAACCATGGATAATCAATTTCATTTGCATTTGAATAACACCGTGCGTTCCTAATCACACGTGTTTCATGATTCATGAGCAGAGGATGAGAAGACCTAAAGTTGAACACAATATATTTATTTAAAAATGTCCGGTGACCCATTTTCTCCAGTATAGGTGAAACTACTCGACCCAGTATACCATGAAGCAGAAATGAAAGCATCTTTTACCTGAATTCAAGTGGAGGATTACTATGGCAACCAAAAAGAGCAGAGCCGAATTCGCCATTATCATCGTCAGCTTTGCAAAACAGATGAATAGTTCACAAAATGTCACTGATAATGACGATGAGCCCTGTGCTATAGTTGTTTGCAATAAATGAATAATGTATATTGATAATTTCGGTAAGCACTAAAATGCAATCAGCTCTTTCTGTGTGTGATTTGAGGTAGGCAAGACGGACAAAGTTTTGTTTGTTTGTTATCGTTTTAGCACCCTGTTGACCCTGTTGATCATCATTTTATCTGATTTGTAGACACCGATAGATGATATCAACTGAAGTAGTACAAAGTTTGTGGATGAAATATATCCCCTTGATTAATATTATTAAATGGGAAGTCCACACTGACATTGAATTGGCTTAAATGGAAGTAGAACAATAAAAGGTACAGGTCCATGAAAGTTTGAGCAAATTCCAAACAAAAATAAGAAAGTTTTGAATTTTGAAGTTGCGATCAATAAAATGAATATAATTATAGAAAATTAGTTTCTATCCAACCTTTTATGGGAAATTATCTATTTCGTCACATAACTATATATGCAAATAAAAGTTCATGAAATTTTATGTACAGAGAAAACAGAAAAGGAGCTCGAAAGATACGTCACAGGGTTGTCAATTTGTGTTTGATTGATAGCAATTTCAAATTCATAGCTTTCTTATTTTTAATCGAAATGTGCTCACATGTACATTTCAACTTCTATTAAAGCCAACTTAATATCAGCGTGTACTTGCCTTTTAATCAGCAGCTTTAATTTGAAAGGCGACGGAAAGAAAGATTATGTGACTACTTTGTACCACGTACTTGAAATGTCACGATCTGGAATGTCAGCATCGGATAACTACCCCTAGAACCAGGCGCGTACGCAGGATTTTTTTCGAGGGGGGTGGGGGGGGGGGTTAAAATTTGAAAATCACGCCGAAAATTTCGCAACGACTCAGCCAGCCGCTGAATAAGCGGGGGGGGGGGGGGGTAACAGGACGGGAGGGGGGTAAGGTCGGCTTTTTGGGGTCACCCATTATCTTTTTTTTTTTTTTAAATTAAAAAACGGGGTTTTTTTTCCCTCCAAAGCACACACAACAAAAAAGTTAAAGGGTTAACCCCAACCCCCCTGCTTACTCGCCTGCCTAGAACAAATACCCTCTATATAGACTATAACCCCCGGATATATCATCGGGCAATAATACAGCCCAAGTGGCGTAGTTCTCTGGCGTAGCTGGATACGAGGAGCGCTTTTTGTGCGCCCAAAGACAAAAAACATGGTATATGTTTGCCTTTGATTCATGTTTGTTTTTCTTTTCTTTTCTTGGGAAAATAACACTGTTTTATTATAAGAAGTATTTTTCGTGTTGTCCATTTGTTAAAAGTGATATGGCTATCGCCGCTATCCTGGGTAACTTCATAAGACCAAATTAGTGTTCATTTTATTATAACAACCGTGATCTAGCATGATAAGAGGATGAACATCTTTAAGAAGTCACAAGTTCTTCGAAAGGTATATATGGATTATGAATATACGGCGCAGAAACATCAAAAGTAAGAACATTAAGTTTTAACTTTACTCCACTTTCCCTTCCAACAGTTACTTTTGAGAATAATTTACCGCAAGATATTTAGTAAGTCTTTAAATACAATTTGTGTGTTTTCTTCAAGATCGCCTTTTACAATATTCAAGGCTTCTTGAGTTGAATATCAACGCATCAAAAGCATTTCTGAGAAAGAGCAGTATGAGCAAATATCGTAAAATCTAAGTTAAATCGCACCTCTTTGCTTGTTTGTGTGAACAAATTCTGCGTTTAACAACGTAATACCAAACAATTGAATATTGTAGACAAATTATATCAAAACATTTTCAGACACTACCAAATTACTTTTAAACACAAGTCATATAGAATAAAAATATGGGAAATTAACATTTTACAATTAACAGGATTTGTGAACACAGGAGACCACCATCATGAGCGATTTGCTTGTTTTCGATGGCGGCCTATTCTCCGAAGACCTTTGACATTTTCCCCAAATAAATATTTTAATTTGGCATCTGAGATTGATAGAGGAATGGGACAAAGGAACTATATAGGGATGAAGATAACGGTAGGAATGAGATGGTGATGAAGATGAAAAGAGAATGCTGTTTTTTCAACGGGATAGGGAAAAAGTGAATGCATAAAATCAAAGAATATGCTTTATATAGGCATATCATCTTCCTCTGTTTCCAGTATCTTTGGACGGAAAACATATATAAACTGAAGTGTATCAAATTGTTCGTTCTGAAATAAGAAGAATGCAATCGTGAATGAGCGACCAACAATCTTTTCTTCTTCGTAGAAATCATCGACTTTTTAAAGAATTGATATTCAGTTAAAATTATTATAATGTTTTGTAAAAAAACGTGGATAATTTTTAGTATTTGAAAAAGAGCATTTTGTTTACTCAAAGATAATTATTGTTCAGGTAATAATGGCTAGAACTCACTATTAACAAAGACTTATTATCTTCCAATTTGAGGAAAAGCCTTTTGTGGTAATATAAGTTGTCAATAATTGTCTAATATGTACTTGCGATCTCAGCCTTCTTAGTATGATAATTACGACGTGTAAAAATTCGTGTCCTAATCTTAAAAATCCACCTTCAATATATCAGCAGTATCTTTCTTTATCACGTACTTGACATATTTGCCATTTTATCTAGCTTCATTTTTTTCCATAAGTGTTTTAAACAAACTTTGAATTTTTAATCCCAAAAAGCATTGGTAAGTTAAGGGGGAGGGCCACCTTGCTTGTCAATCCTCCTCCTCTCTCGCAGGTATGTTTACATTTAGCAAATCATATTTTATATATTCAGGAAAATAAAACTGGTTTGATTTTCCTGAATATTTGTCTCGTTAAACACACCGTAGGGCCTACAGTCTTTGCCTCTTCGCCCTCTTCGACTTGGTTTTGTGAAGAAAAAGAAAAAGTTTTGTTTTTTCAAGCTCAGTGAAGCATCAAATAACTTTTAAGACCTCTTGTAGCTTGACAGTCACAAACGATTCTAATTTGTTGTGGTAAGTAGAAATTTAATGCAGTTAGATATTGGATTGAGAGTCTCTAATCCGAATTGCGGGCCTAGGTCTAACGACCAGGAGCTCAGGCCCGCGCCCGCCGAGATCCGGGGTAGTCGGACCGTGCTGTACGCTGGAGCTCGCGGGGCCGGGGCTGGGGGGTTTAATCTGGCCGGGAAATCAAAAACAGTTTTTATTTCTACAAACGATAAAAACATGAGCTTATTTTGTGTCCGTAGAGTAACATTAGGGGATCTCTTTGTCGAGGTCTAGATTGAAAGTGATAAGCAGTAAATTTAACTGAAGTTACTTTTATTTTCAAACCAGCTAATGTTAATTTTGTTTGGACTTTGCACTATCGTGCCAGGGGCCAAATGAAAAAAACTATATTTATAGTACCATGTTAACATTCAAGTAGACAATTTAAGCTAAAAATTGATGTATAAAAAAAACAAGATGATGAATAAGACACATTAAAAGATGCATAGACAAAGTACTATTGTAGTGGGTTCTCATCACTAGCTCCTACAGACAGTGCAACAATGCATAAAGTCTAACCTTAAACGGGATGGACCTCAGAGTCTTACCAGCTACAAAAGTACAATAAGCAAGTTTTCACATGTTGATTTGATTGTTGATCCGATGTTTTTTTTTAAAACCAGGTTGATGTTAAAGGACTGTTTGTAACGTGAATCGTTGGTATCAGATGTCACCATGGTTACCAAGAAATGGGCCAAGATCCTGTACAGGGAGCAGGGAGTCCCAGACAACTATGTAGATGACTCGTTCTTAGACGAACTAAAGAAGAATTGTAAGTACCAAAGTAGCTTGAACTACATGTAGTTACTTCATAACATCTGTTTTACTGTTTTCTAGTGAATGAAAACATGCATATTTCTCTCTCTCTCTCTCTCTCTCTCTCTGTCTCACTCGCTCTCTCTGTATATATCTTTCTCTGTTGCAGGGCTTTCCTTTTTTGTTATTGTTATCTGCCCAATCATATATAAATTGCATAAATGTCTTTGTTCAAAGTAATTCTTAAATTTTGTCATACTTAATATCTCCTCATTAGCAATATGAAATGGTAAAAATATGTAAAAGGCAAACTTGTTCAGTCAATGATATTTTTCTTTGACTTGTCAATGAAAGTGATTTAATTGTGGTACTAAATCACATACTGTGATCATAAAGTAGTTTCTCTAACTTTATTATTTATTTCAGTTATAAATCTAAAATGGGTTATTAATTAAAAAATTTCACAACAGCCTAGAATATTTATTTTTTTTAAAAACCTTCCAGGGTAATCTCACAAAATATAAATACACACATTTTGGTAATGTGTAATTTTGGGAATTTGGGGGGAAATATCAGGGTTAATATAAGGCCATGTAAAATTGATTACATGTTGATCGTCCGGATTTTTTGAAAAAGAGGAGGAGGGTGTACCATGTTATTTGATATTTGATATTTCAAAATGGCCGCTCAAAATGGCCGCTCGGTACATTTTCCCTGACAGTCGAGGCTATTTTTTTTCAAGATGGCCGCCGACAATTTTTTTTTTTTTTAAATCAGAAATAGAGCCATTTTAGCAGTGTTTTTCATGTTTTTTTTTCTTTCAAAAAAAAAAAAAAAATCAAAAAAAAATTCAAAAAAAACAACAAAAAAAAACAAAACAAAACAAAAACAAATAACAAAAAATAGGAGGCGGCCCCAAAAAAGGAAGCGGGCGGGGACGATCAACATGAAATCAATTTTACATGGCCTAAAGAAGAAAAGAATATCAGAATAAAGTGCAATAATAGATGATTATACCGTATCAATTGAACTTCATGTTTCATGTGTAATAAAGTAAGAAATTTACTCTCACTTTATGATATTTCTATTTTCTTTCAACAGTGCACACAAGGACCTATGAGTATTGGAATGTTGTGTATGAAACCGGAGTGGTTACCCAACAGCTGAGCAGGTAAGTTGAAAACGGCCTTTGCTTATTAGAATTTCCTAGACCTCATTTTATAGTCGGGGAAACCACAAAGCAATGGTTCGCATTTTGTTTACTATTACCAAAACTTGTCATGTATGCACTTGGAAAAGAATTTTCTCATGATTAATTTTAAGATCAGTAATTGTTAATGAAAGTTATGATGCAAAGAACTGCTGCCATTGCCCTTTATCACATCTTCATGGTAAATTTTACCTTTTTTTAAACTTAGCATAACGAACTGCTTTGTGTTATTAATGGTGATTCAGTCTTTTATCCATGTATTTTCTCTCTTGACATGACAACTGACCAATGCTGCTGTGTGGCAACTTTAGCAGTGATTGGTCAAAGATCGTTCATTTCTGGATGAAATTATTTCAATAAAAGGCTGATGTTGTATTGGATACATTTCATAGAATTACATATCAATGATAGATTGATGAATTAATGAAAATAGCTATGTATTTCTCATTTCAGTGTGTGCATGTTTGTAGTGGCGTACATCTTTATGTTCACTGGCCGACTGTCTCCTTCATCCTTGCTATGCGTCAGCGGGTGGCTCACCCTGTGTGGATATCCTGTGTTTCGATGGCTGGAGAGGTCAGACGACAAGGTCAAAGTTCAAAGGTCTGGTAAGTGTTATCTACATGTATCTTCTATAAATGAGGTCATGTATCATCTATGTTTGAGTCATGTTCAGAATGTATTATTCATATTTGGAAAAATCTGCAGGCTTCTGATGTACTTTTAAAGAAGACACAGATGTAAGGAGATGGTGAAAGAGACACGCAGATAGGAAATGAGAGAGAGAGAGAAATGGAGGGAGAGAGGAGAGGAGATGCAAGAGAGATAGCAAGAGAAGAGAAGAGAAAAAGTTTAATTTTAATTAAATTATGATTATCAGAAGTTTTTAAAAATTTGTACTTACTGCTTAAAGATAAAGTTGAGTTCTGGTCATGCGATTGCATTGTGAAAGAAAAGGTGTGGAATGGATCAGAAAGTCAGAATGGAGTCATCAAAATCATAATAAATTTGCGTGTCCAGTCATGGTAAAGTTACTGTACACAGAAAGATGTATATAGGACTACGCGATATCTATACAGGCCGGATAGATATGATAATTTACCAAATATATCAATTTGTAGGTGGTTTCCCAGCAAAATTTGTATCATCACGTATCAGTCAAAACATATTCTTGCACATGATTGGTAATAAGAGCTTCCATTTCATTTTTTGAGAGGGGGGGGGGCATTTCCAAAACTGGTCTTTAACTTTAATTATGTTTGTCACTTATTCTTCTCCCCCCCCCCCCCCCCCCCCCCCACCTTCAGCTCTGGATGACCTGCGCTCAAGCTGTATCTTCCTCACATTCTCATTCGGGATGTCCCCGATACTGAAGACCCTGACTGATTCCATCAGTACAGATACCATCTACGCCATGACAGTGAGTAAAACTCTCTGGCCCGAATTCACAAAGCAAGGTTTGAGCTCAGACCGGGTTTGAGCTCAAACCTCCTTTTGTTTCGCCAAACCTCCTTTTGTTATTTACAAACCAGGTTTGTAAATAACAAAAGGAGGTTTGGCGAAACAAAAGGAGGTTTGACCTCAAACCTTGGTCTGAGCTCAAACCTTGCTTTGTGAATTCGGGCCTCTGTGTTTTGCATGTTTTCGCTCTCTTGCAACATGAGGCCTATCCTTGTCATTCACCTGTTAAAGGCCGTCTGTACTAGTTTGGCTAGGAGGGATTAGACCACCCAGGGTGGTAATTGACAGTTGGCCATCTCATCAACTTAGCTCTCAATTAACATAAGGAAAAGGGGATCATGGGAGACCAATGGTCATCGATTAGGCATTGTTTGCTATATAGAGGGTGCAAGTAGCTACAAGTAGTACAGTGGGGCTTTAATATATTAAATTTGTATTTATTGCTACAGTCTTAAATGCATAAGACTGAAACTGATTTTGATTGAAGAATGCAACAAAAGATGAAGTGATTGAATTTAGGGTCGTCGGTCAAAGGTCATTTAACACATAGAAACAATCCTAAAATATTGTTATGAATTTGGATACAGTGATTACCTGAAAACTTGACTTCCTAAATTACAAACACCATTGAATAACATTGAGCAGTAAAGATTCAACATGTCAATTATATACTTATCTAAGAAATTAGAATGAAATGCTTGTAATGATGAATTATTTACAACTTTCATCCATTTTTTTTGCAGGTGTTTATGTTATTGGGTAATCTGATCTTCTATGACTATGGTACTACTAAAGTTGTGTGAGTATCAGACATGGATTTTGTAACAATAATGTTTACTTTCAAATCAATGTATTTTTCACATTTTGAATTAATAATTTTAGAGCAATAATTGTGAGTATGAAAGGTTCCATATTTATTTGAGATTTATTTGTGAAGGATAATATATTGTGCAATATTATAGCAAAAATACTGTACATTATTATAGAAATTTGTTTGTAGTTTGATTTATGCAGTGTACGGTCTACCAACCTATTAAATTCTTTATTTGACTTATTAGCCATTCTGGCCAATAAGCACTATGCTATAGGTCAGTGGGCAGTTGCTTTACAAAATGATTGCAGTTTTAGTTGTTAACACCATGTGTAGAGTTCCACTTCTGGGATTAGCAGTCTTCATGTTACATTCAATCATTTCAATGCCCACACATTTTAAAGCATTTAAAAGCTAATCTTGAATTTATTTATCTGGAGAACAAATGCATAAGTGCATCTTGGTGTGCCATGAAGGTCATATTTATCTTAGGAATTATTTTTATCACGTAATTTTTCTTGGCATTCATTTACCAGTGCATCTCAGCATCTCTCCCTGAACGCATCAATATTTGCCTCGGTGTGCCTTGCATCGAGACTACCCACGACACTCCATGCCTTTGCCACTGTCATTCTTGCCATGCAACTCTTTGCCCTGTGGCCCACACTTAGGAAGAGATTAAAGGTGAAGATCATACATCATCTCGTATTTAGAGACAAAAGGGCATTAACTCTGATGAGTTAAAGCCCTTCTGGCTCCAAACAGATGATATATCAAGAAATAGTGGTGAAAATGAACATATAATGAAAATAATAATATTAATACTAGAAGTAGTAGTAGTAATACAAATAATAATATAATAATGATAAAGATGATAATAATAATGATAGTGATAATGATAACAATAATTATGATAATAATAGTAATGATGATAGTAATAATAATAATAAAACACACTTATATTGGTCCATCCATTAAGCGGTAGTAGAAGTGTTCTGAGTTAAAGTTAACATCACTTATTCTGCATTAATTTCAGTCTGAAGTAAAATTAGTAATGAACCAGACAACAACCCATAATTAAGTTTAGAATTAAGCTAAATTAATGTTTTTATTATTTTATTTTATTTAGACTGTTGTTAAAAAACAAGTTTAGAACTTTGTTTCCTTACACATAAGGAATTCAACATTTTACTACTAATAAAATGCTCTAACAGTAGTTTCACTACTATTTCAAAGATAATCCGAACAAAATGCAAGCTGTTATTCAATTGCGATAATAAGTATTTACTGTAATAAACTGTAATATAAAGCTTGAATTAGGTACTGCACAGCATGATTTTAAAGAAAACCCAAATTGATTGCATTTATCGGGTTTCTTGTTTGGTTTTCTCTGTAGAAAGAGGTTCCATGGACCCACTCCATTATGACATGGGTCAGTGCTGGTGTTGCTTTCATCGCTCTGTACTCTGTGACAGTTGTTCCTGCCATAGCGTTTGGATTAGCTCACCTCTTTATAACCTACATCTGCCCTCTATGGCTCATAAGATTACAACCATACAAGAAGTAAGTACAGTCAAATACTGTGTAGTGCCCAATTGGATATACATACCTTAGTGAAATGTCAACAATGATCATTTATGAGCCAAGAACCTTGTGCATGTTGCAAATTTTCAGTTTTATGATACAGTCATTTACTGTTCAACTTTTTTGGGCATGAAATCTTTTTTTGGCAATCTCGCGAGTGATGCAGACTCGCAATAGTTTCATGCCACAAAATAGTTGGATCACAATAATTAATATTTTTGTAATTTCGTGAAGGCTTATTGTAAATAAAGTTAGCAGTGAAGTAAAAGAAACCTCCATTTTGACTAGTAATTCAGTACTTAAATTATTGCTGCATTACATCATCATCAACATCATCATCATTATCATCATCATCATCATCATCACCACCACCATCATCATCATCATCATCATCATCATCATCATCATCATCATCATCATCATCACCATCATCATCATCACCACCACCACCACCACCACCACCACCACCACCACCACCATCATCATCATCATCATCATCATCATCATCATCATCATTGTTAATATCGCCATAATCAAAATTTGTATTTTCAATTACCTATCATTTCTGCTTGATAAATGTGTTAATCTATTTCATGAGTTTTGTCTGGGGCTGTCGTACTATCAAGCAATCTGCTTACAATGACAGTCCTTCTTCCGCAAATGATTTTATAATTTTTTATTGAATTTAGTAGTTATGACAGTTTATCGTTTCATATTTTGAAAATAACAATAATAATTATATCTATATTTGCTTATTTATGATTCATTGTTATTGAAAAACTGTGTACTTACATGAATGCAGAAGAAATTCAAATCAAAATCAAAATCAAATCAAATCGTGATCCATAAACCCTTTCTTTGAAACCATATCCCAACATTGTCAATATGAACATATCAGGTAGTATTTTATCTTTTTTTCTTTTGCAGTAATATCCATGGTCCGTGGGATGAAGCTATTATACAACACTAGCAGCACTCACATCCGCTGAATTCACCAATTAAAGTCTTTCACAACTATGGACAGCTTTCTGAACATGCAAATGCTATATCACAAGAATTCATCTCTAGCAGCACAGCCGATGAATTTATCTATCAAGTCTATATATGGACGGCTCTCTGAACATGTGACTGCTTTACTATACCACAGAGATAAAACAATAGCAGCACATGATGAGTTCATACATGTATATTTTGTTTCTTTTCACACCAATAGAAAACTTTCTATACATGCATCTGATATATGTGGAAATCACAGCATCTCTTCATAGAAGAAAACTAGATGCCATGTACAAATAAATTATATGTGCAAACGATTGTGGTAGAAAGTGTGTTATATCTGTAGCTTTTAATAACAACGATCAAAGAAAGATTTGAGCAAGTAGTCTTAACCATGCTGTCTTGTGTACTCATACTGTGCTTTTCACTGAATTTGATTTCCCACAATCTGCATCGATACAGTATTGGCTGGTCCAAACAACTCATTAACTGTAATATGATGAACGATTCACAATTCAGATTTCAGAACTACCTTTAAGTCAGTTTCATTGATATGCAATATGCAATTACTATACAAATAAGTGTCCTTCTTTGCCTTTGAGGAGCATTGTGATTTCCCATTCAGGATGAGGCCAAGCCTGTCATTCCTTCAAATTACAGAACTGGAATGGTGAATGATGATAACAACTAGATATATCTGTGTTTCTACCTCCATTCTAGTCCTGCTAGAATGGATTTGCCAAACTTGAATCCCATTTTTTACCATTGATTTCTTTTCTTTTTTAAGAAATGAGGAATGATTACCAGTATGCCATTGTTTATATTGAAAAACTTTCTGATCTGGAATCATATTTCAAAAGTAACAATGTGTGTTATTTGAGATTTCTACTTTGTCCTTCATGGAGAGCATTTTATCATCAAAATGGCATAGTACTTTTTTGTGAACAGAGGACCCCATTTTAGGGACTGATTTTAAGGTTTTAGGCAAGAACTTTGAAGATTTATTTGTGCAAGTCCCTCACATATTATTCTAAAGGAGGCCTTTTTAAAACTGGGCTGGTTCCAGTAACCTCCTTTAAAATTGTCATTACCAGTATATGTTATTATTATTTTGTATAGATTTTGTTTATGAATTTGCAAAATAAATAAGTGTAAGTGGATTATATATTTTTTTGTCCATTTTGTGTTTTTCTGTAGATTTATGTGTTTGATAAATCAGATATACAATTGTATTTTACCTGTTGGTAGATAGGAGCCCTTTATGAACCAAGAGAAAAAAAGTTTGAATGTCTTAAAATGTTTAAAGATCGCATCAGATAAAAATGCATCTTTATATCAATGGAAAGTGGAATGTATGTAGAATACAAATATTGGAATTACAAATATTTTTCCTTTCAGCATTGCACAAGAACCTCATTTTCTGCACCCCTCCAAATTAATGCAAGTCAATGTGAATATGCATACTCCACATAAGATGATGTCATCAAGTCCAAAGCTAGTTAACAGGTCAACAATTTCAAATTTCCAAAGCTTTAGATTTCAACCTCGTTGGAAAAAGTCTTTAGGGCTAAGGGATTACCTTGTTACATTGAAACCTCCCCTGATAGGTCAGAGCTTCAAAACAAAAGAATTAGGAAAATGGGACAAGCATATTCTGAGTGTTTGTTTCAACAGTGTTGATTGCGAGGCTCTGTTGTTCAGGTTATGGTTTCTGTTGAAGCAAGAATCGGATTCACAGATAGAACAGGTATGCGAGGGTGTGTATAAGTCTCTTTGTTCATTGTGATATTTAGGAATGGCGGTGATATATATATGCAAAAATCAACAATTTCAATGGATGATTACCAACACACTGTAACTAAACTAAAGTTTAAGATTTTCATCCTCTTCATGCTTCACCCTCCCAATTTTACATTGTAATGCCCCTTTCTCTATCAGTCTGCATCACTTCCTCCATTTCTCAATTGTTTACCTTCCATTCTATCTAACCCATATCTAATACTCCTCTCTCTCTCTCTCTCTTTAAGATATTGATATCTTCCAATCATATCATTTTCTCTCCATTTTACCTTAAAATTGCTCAATTTCATTGATTTCTCTACCTATCATTGTCTCAATCTCTCTCTTTCTCTCCCTCTCTCTCTTTTTTTTTTGTATATCACTTTCTCTTCATTGAGTTCTCTCAACCATTTTCAATTCCTACATCTTCCACATACCTCACTTTGTGTCATCTTAATATCCAACTACTATCATTGTTTCTATACCATATATCCCATCTTTAGTGTATAAATGACAACAAAACATTGAAATTCTGACACAAATGAACACTCGGCACTTTTTGAATTCCTTGTGAAACCGTACATGTTTCTAAACAATAAAGCACTTTTAGAACTAATCTTTAAGATCTACATGTAATTAAGAATGATCTGGCACAAACTTACATGGAAATCTTTTATTTCTACTGAAACAAAACTATTGAAACAGTGATTCCAAATAAAATAAAGGACAGATATGAAGTGTGGTCTTGTCTTTTTTTTTATTTGTTAAATGTCCATAAACAAAATATTAAAATGTGTCTCCTTTATAACTTGGCTTGCCATGCAATACAAAAAAAAACAACATAAATCTAACCAATTTGTATCATACTTAGCAGTGGGTTCAAGAAATGAATGTACCTCATTCTTCAAACAGCGGCTCACAATAAAGCATAACAAGAATAAATCTATATCTTGTAAGGTAATATAAAGTTGTTCATAAATTAGCACCAGCATATACATGTACATGTAGTAACACAAAGATCATGCTTAGAGAGATGAAGTCAAGTGAACAAGTGATCTTCAATGAAGCCATGTGGATCATCACTGGCTACCCACATCCTACTCCAATGGACCTCCTGGGGCCCCGTTTCATAAAACTTGTTATCTATAACAAGTGATAAATTTCTATGACAAATTTGCTCTCAGCCAATCGGATGCCCTGATTTCAGTAGCTACTTATAACAGTAGCTTGTAACTTGTTATTGATATCAAGTTTTATGAAACAGGGCCCTGTCTGTCCTTGCAGGCATCCCATCTCCAACTTTGCAGACAATGCCTTACCAATAAGTCATCAACGAGTTGTCCTGTATCCTTTGCACGGAAGCCTTTTAATTGCTCCACCAAGATTTCTTGGTATGCCACAAGTAAAAATCAGCAAAATTACTGTGACAATAAATGAACTTTAAGATCTGGAAGACAATGCACTGAATTTCTGTTAAAGATAAAGACCACTTATGGTCATGCGATTGCATTGTGAAAGAAACGTTGTGGAATCGATCAGAAAAGGTTGATCACCTAGCATATGTAAGTATTGGTGTGTACTGCAAGGTTCTGGAATCGTCAAAATGATAAGAAATTTGACCCAGTCTTGGTAAAGTTACAAGCACTGTACACAGAAAGATGTATATGGGACTACGCACATGCACGACACTTGCGTTTTATCTATCAAGTCCAAATAGATATAATAATTTATCAAATATATCAATTAGTAGGCGGTTTCTCTGCAAAATTTGTATGATCACGTATTAGTCAAAACATATTCTTTCACATGATTGGTAATAAGAGTTTCCATTTCATTTTTTGAGAGGGGGTCATTTCCAAAACCGGTCTTTACCTAGGTCCTCCGTCTGACTACTCCTTGAAAGCTATTCAACAGCTCTACCCGGAGTCTTAGTTTCTTGGTATGCTACATCTAAGATGAAGACACCAATATCATCATTGTCATGGTAACGTCACTGATTTAATAGCATTTAACACCTGGATGACATTGCACTGACTTTCTGTAGAAGTGTCGACCTCTGTCCACTCCTCGGAAGCCATTCAATGGCTCTGCTCAACGTCTTCATCTCTTGGTGTGCCACATCACGGACGACAACACCATCATCACTATGGCAACAATGGAGTTCCTCCAACATCATTAAATAGCATTCAACACCTGGATGACATTGCACCAACTTTCTGTAGAAGTGTCGACCTCTGTCCACTGCTTGGAAGCCATTCAATAGCTCTACTCAGTGTCTTCATCTCTTGGTGTGCCACATCACGGACGACATCAACATTATTATCACTATGGCAACCAAGGAGTTCCTCCACCCTCGTGACAAGCTCCAGACACCAGACGAAGAGCTGCTCCGTGGCCAACCCAGGGACACGCCTGGAGACCTCGCATGATTGACAGAAGAGCTGGCCAATCAGGAAGACTTGAGGAGCAGCATGGGCGGAGCTTGATGGACTCGATGAGATGCTCTCTGTGGCATTGGACAGGATCATCTGTAAAATGAAAGAGCATTGGGATAATTACAATAATATGATTACAGACATGAACAAGTGCACATACAAAATGTACGCGAGAGAAGATATGGACTTCAAATCTGAAGCACGAAAATGACTTTGGCGTGAAAAACCTTGGTTAAGAGGTCAATCATTAGTGCACTTACTCACACTTCAATATTTCAAATATTTATAAGAAAATGCATGATATTGAAATAATTTGATAGATCAATTCAATGTTCCACAGTTATTTCGACCAAGCTAGGCAACTGATTGGAATTTCTGAACTAATTCATGTAGTAACCCACAATACATGACATGAGGTAAATGTATGTCTCTTTTTTTGGTCATAAATTGACAAATAACTTAAAAAATATATATCACTTTGTAAATTCTGACCACTTGAATGAACATAGAAATGCAAAGCAATATAAACATGTAACTCCTGTTCATTGTTAGACAAGCTTTTGTTACTTGCCTTCATAAGCTGCGCATAGCTCTTGGTGATATGTTGCCATTGGTCATCTTTCAGCCGATCAGAAAAACCCGCTTCACCCAACAGCTGGATCACTGTGGTGAAGACTTGACTCAACTGTAAAGGGCGCTGACACACTGAAAATGGAAGAAATTTGTTTTAAATATCAGTAAAGTATCGTATGCATTACATTTCAGAGAATGAGCAGTGTCTAACCATCTACATAATGTATTCCCAAAGAAGCATTCAATTGAGCCCTGTCAATGAAGAAGGACAAAAAAACTTCTGCCAGAAAAATCATCTATCAGCAACAATCCAGAAGAACAAGAATATGTTACACAGTAAGTAGTCCCTGCTCTAAAAACTATTGCTTTGGCCATGGTGTCCAAGATATGGGTTCCAGTTTGGACATCAATACGCCCTCAATAGCTTTTCGGGGCACAAAGAGAAGAAAATCAAACTGGGTTTCAAACAAGACTCATCCTCATTCAAAGGAAGAAAATGTACCACATAATATGAAAACATACTGTAGTTCAGCAATAAAACGGGAACAAATCTTAAAGATTTGGAAACCTTTATAAATCTACCATTTGTGCACTCCTTTATAGAGGCATTCCTAAACGATTTGCTACATGTATAGCCACCATTTACCATTATAGCATAAACATGGCCGGGGTATACAGAAGTATCATGTTATGTTTTTTATGTTACACTGTAATGTAAAAACACATGATTGTAAGTGTTAAACAAAATGATTATTGATATTCATTTATTTTTTGCAAAAAAATGTAATAAATATTCTGTAAATCATTGTTTTCTGACCAATAAAACTTATCAAGATAAACAAAAAATAGCATAAACATGACATTAATGTCAATGGCACATAAATAATATTCCATCCCTATTCCAATTCCAATCATTTGAAGAACGAACACAATTTTTTTTTAAACTCACCCGTGATATCACATGAAGGTAAGCTGGTCATGAAGTGGGAGGTGTAGGAAACATGAAGCAATCCCTCCGACCTCAGCAGATCAAGGGTGTCAAGAACGTTCAGCCATTCTGGAGTGCTACTATGAGGAAGCACTTGGGCCAATCCAAGACAAACCGCTCGGTAGAAATCTGCCCTCAAAGCAGACGTTTTTGGTAGGAATGTTCCTGATAAACTCTTCACGGATGTGAAGAAATAGAAATTAGAAGAAAAAAATGTTGCTATGAACTATGAATATTTGTCAAAGTAATGCAAGTGTTTGCATGTCAGGTATAATGCAAACCTATTCAAATGATGTAAATTAGTTGAATGTTGAATTATTATAATGAAAGTGGCTGTAACATTGCCCTTATTTTCTTCCGTCTGTCCATGGAACCGTCACCATTCACCGATACACCCACCTTTCAAACGCATCTACTCTCTTTTCATCTCTCCTTACAATGGAACTAATGCTGCTCTGTCCTGTTATGTTATAGAAGGAATATGGATACTACTTTGACACTATCTAACAGCCCTGGGGAGTGTTTCACAAAGACTAAGATCGACTTTAAGCTGGATATAACTATGGCAGGTTGTTCATGCCACTGTTTGCTCTCACCATAATGATCTTTATATAATATTTTTTCCTTAAATAGTGAATTGTCAAAAAATGTAAATTCTGTAGATTTGTGACCACGATTTGTATGTCCCCTGGGAGACCCATGCCAGTAAATGGTGAGAGAAAACAGTAGCATGAACGGCCTGTCATAATTAAGTCAAACTTAAAGTTGATCTTAGTCTTTGTGAAACAACCCCTTGCTTGAATACAACCATTCTATACAAAGACAGAATAGATGCCTCTCACCTTGACAAACTGCTTTGATAACCGAGATGATATCCTAGCCCCTTGGAATAAAGCCATCAGAGAGCAACTCCATTCTCCATACAATGGTAAAGACTCGATGGTTGGAGAGGGCTGTAAGCAGCCAGTGATTTGTTCTATACATGAGATGACTTCCTGAAAAGAAAACACAAATCAGAGAAAGACAGAGAACGTGGTTTAGAGCTTCAAGGAAGGTTAATCCTTATAATTACATGTACAGTACAAATACGACAGAAGTGAAACCTTCCACAAGATTTAGGATGTATCATAGAACACAACTTACCGGTAGGATAAAATACAGTTCTTTGTAAAAAATCATTATTCACTACAGTACATGTACATATCCCTATATACTCAAACCTGCTTTAGTGACCACCTGTCTACAAAGGCCACATTTTTTGTTCCCTTGAAAATGGTTTCTCATTGAAACATGTACTAAAGGGTTTCCCTTGGGTAGTTGCTATAGACAGGCTTGACTGTACTAAGTTCTATACATGCTTTGCATTCAATAGTGGGAATCATGTAATTGCAGCACTTTCCTTATCATTTCAAAAGAAAACCTGTAAGAAAATTCTATACTTGCCCAACCAATAATGCGATTAAAAAAAAAAATTCTGGTCAACTTTGGTATTGCATATGGATCGGTATGGCACCCCATGATATGCAGCATTTAAAGCAGGACTGCACTACTTGTAGCTACTTGCGCCCTCTATGCAGCCAACAATGCCTAATTGATACCTGTTGATCCCCCATGGTCCCCTTTTTCTTATGTTAATTGAGAGCTGATTTGATGAGATAACCACCTGCCAGTGAACTTGCAGTTAGGTCTAATCCCTCCCGGCTACACTAGTGCATATAGGCTTTAAAGACTGTCAATACTACTGGACCAGAAGGGATTAGACCACACAGCGAGGTCACTGACAGGTGGCTATCTCATTAACTCAGCTCTCGACTAACATAAGAAAAAGAGGATCATGGGGGACCAACGGGCACCGATTGGGGAAGTTTTCTATATAGAGGGAGCAAGTAGCTACAAGTAGGACAGTGGGGCTTTAAACAAACCTTTCTACAGGAAGGAACCGCATCAGAGAACAGTGCGTTAATGGCGAGTCTCACAGTCCAGTCCAGATCCGATGTCTCTTCAACCAGCCACTCCAAACATACTGACAGGTTATCTGCAATGGTATTAAATTCACTTGAAATGGCACACATGTACATGGGCAATGATGATGGGGCCCAAGGGGCTAAATTGCATAAAAAATACCGTATATATTTTGTAGCTCAAGAATAACAGGTGGACCGGTCGAATTAGGAACTTCATTGGATACTTTTAGATGTCAGCTTAAATACATGTATATAACATTCTCAAGAAACGTACATCAGGACAAATCAATTTTCCACTTACTTAAAAAAAAAAACTCATAAAACTTCCTCAGGGTATAAATAATTTAGGTGTTTACTGTACTGTACTGATTTAACGCATGTCATAACATATAGAAATGTGAAGACCACTGCACTTTTCCCATTTTAACATGTTTGTAGTTTTTTCAAACTTTCCATAGAGGACATTGACCCAGCCATGTCTAATAACTATGAATATGACGGACAAAGAAAGCGGACAAAATATACAGTTCCTCATTCTACCCTCAACAATTGCTATGGTAGACAAAGGAACATCCCTTCACTGCTATTATGTAAAAATGTGTAGAACAGGTGAATATGCATGTGACACCTGTTCTACAGATTTTTACATACCGCAATAGCAGTGAAGGGATGTTCCTTTGTCTACCACAGCAATTGTTGAGGGTAAAATGAGGAACTGTATATTTTGTCCGCTTTCTTTGTCCGTCATGTTCATAGTGAATCCAACTTCACGAGGTTCTTTGACAAAGGAAGGGAGCTACACACCTGTGTGAACTTGTCGGACATATGCGGACACCCTCTCGAGTAGGTCAGAGGTCATTTCCTTGATGAGGAAGTTATACGTAACATCTCCATCATCTGGGACAGTACAGTCCTGTAATATCTGGCACAGGCTGAGCATGGTAGAGAAGCACACACTGATATCAAGCGCATCTGGCTCCTGTCAAGGAACAAATGAAATAAGAAATACTGCTAGACAGGATTAAAGATGGATACCAGGGGAGTGTTTCACATAGACTATATAATATTTTTTCCTCGTAACATTAGAGTAATTTTAATAGTTTCATTCTTTTAATTAAATGTAATGTTAATTGTTATTGTATAATTGTGTTAAATGGGGGCACGCTACAAGAGTCCTATCTCGACCCCGGGGCAATGTGTCTGACACGGCCGGTTGTAGCAACTACTCCGAAGATCAAGATACATTAATCTTGATCTTAGGAGACACAAACGAACGAACAAAGACTAAGATCGACTTTAAGTTGGACTTAAAGTGTTTCACATAGACTATATAATATTTTTTCCTCGTAACATTAGAGTAATTTTAATAGTTTCATTCTTTTAATTAAATGTAATGTTAATTGTTATTGTATAATTGTGTTAAATGGGGGCACGCTACAAGAGTCCTATCTCGACCCCGGGGCAATGTGTCTGACACGGCCGGTTGTAGCAACTACTCCGAAGATCAAGATACATTAATCTTGATCTTAGGAGACACAAACGAACGAACAAAGACTAAGATCGACTTTAAGTTGGACTTAACTATGGCAGGCTGTTCGTGCCATTGGTTGCTCTCACCATTTGTCTCTCAATTATGATCTTTAGATAATATTTTTTCCTACGATAATGAATTATCAACAAATATAAATTCTGTAGATTTGTGACCATGATTTGTACATCCCTTGAGAGACCAATGCCAGTAAATAGTGGGAGCAAACAGTGGCATGAACAGCCTGCCGTAGTTAGTCCAACTTAAAGTTGATCCTAGTCTTTGTGAAACACCCCCCAGTAGGAGTATGTTTTCATTATAAAAGTGCACTATTCATGATGGGGAGTATGTTTTACAGTTAAAAAAAGAAAACTTCCTGCCGTATATAAACCACAGGCTATCATTTGTTGCAAATATCATGATCTTTACATATAGAGATATCTTGTCACATACCAGTAGATGAATGAGTATACAATTTTGGTATAACATTATAGAATCTGATATGTTCAAAATGTACTATGAAACAATTTTTCCCGATATTCAAATCAGGATACAACCTACTTTGGTTTAAATAAAGTTTTAATCAAATGTTCATCACTGTCATTCTTACCAGTCCATCTGTCGAGGACAAGCTGGTTTTAAGCACAAGATCCAAGAACTTCAATGTTATACGTCTGGGAACGGAAATTCTGGGAGTGGGAGACTCCGGAGTTACATGTAGATACAAGGAGGGAGGTCCAGGACCAGGTCTATGGGTGTGGTCCAGTGATGCAGGACCAAGGAAGGGCCAGATGCACGAGTCGGCCAGGTGGAGAGGGCTGATGAGGGGTGGGCAGGTGAAGGGGTTTCCTGGATGGGTTGGTGGATGGTAGCTCTAAACAAAAAATACAAAAGCAAAAACAGCAACATAAGATCATTCATGCATGTCTAAATATTATATCAGATGGTGCACATTTTGAACCAATTTTCCTACATTGCCTTTCATTTATACTTCATTTATATTTGCGTTTAACAGACTTGCTTATACACGACACGTGGGCCTACCTGTATGACTAGAAAAGAGACAAAAGCAAATTCAGCAACAAACATTCATGAATGTCTGAATATTCTATATATCAAATGGAGCACACTTTGCACGAACTTTTCTACATTGCATTTCATATACTTCCTGTATATTTGCATTTTCAAAGACAACTTGCTCATACAGTTCACTACATGTGGGCCTACCTGTATGGCACTGTCTGCAAACTTGAAGAGGTTCAGTTCCTCAGAAGTTGAGAGTTGTCTCACACCAAGAGTCCTGACAAAGCTGCTAAGCTCTGTGAGGAAACATGTGGCTCCATCAATTCGAAGCTGTACCAAGAATGGCATACACTGCAGAACCTGATCAACAGGAGAAAAAAATGTGCATCAATGCGCTTGCATAGATGGTAATGGCTATTTGATAAAATGATCTAATGGCAGAGATGTATTCCCTAACCTTAGGGATATTCAGTCAATATATATAAAATGTACAAACTATGAAATGTGTAACTTACATCTAGTTATACATGTCAATCCTACTCATATGACTGACAAAGATGATATTTATGTCGTTCATGAGGAAATTCTTTGCAATGATTGTTCATTAATTTGTGTTAAATACACTAGATTCTGTTCCGTCTCATCTAATTTAATCCTATTCTGGGTGGGGCGATGCAAATACGATACACTGATGACACAGACACCGACTGCGAGTTTGGAACATCTGTGCAATCTATGTCACACTTATTAAGATGCCCACTCCTAGATGACCAATGCTGCCTGGAAGACCTAGTGGCAGCAAATGAGAAGACTCTTCAGTGTGCAAGAGCCTGGCAGAACATTTGAGCTCAGATGATAGACACGAAAGAAGAAGTGTTTACCTTACAAATCAAGCTGCCTGCCTCTGCATTGCTGATAGCCTCTTGTATAGCCTTCCGCAGGGTGGAGCTTGGACAGTGAAGAGCAATGCTACAGATCTCTCTGGCTCTCTGCATCATAATGGATGTGAAAATATTCACAGAGAACAATGAGGGATCGTCTGATTTACCCTATCAATGCTCATTTATTGTTAACATTACTACATGTTTTGAGATAAAAATGAGTCATTATGATCCTAACCATAATGAAGAGTATCTTTAGGACACATTCTCTCAGACTTGATTTTCACAACCTGAAATCCCTCAAAGTGACACGGTAACATTGCCTCAGATTCTGAAACAAATCCTGGATTTAGCTCATGCTGCAATCATAATTATAAACCGTTAGGTCAGTCAGGAATCCCATGACTTTTACAAGCCGATCCCCTGTCTGATTATCAAAATAATTATGATTGGAAATCAAAATCAAATTTTGCGTTTTCCTCATGGTTTTATAAGGGAAATTGGGTATGGTAAAACCGGTCACTCAAAGATTTTTACCTTTTTGAGGCACTTCATGATCATTTTGAACCACACTTTTTTTTAGGGTTTCAATATTACACCATATCACAGACACTCATAACATGTAGGGCAATGCAATCTCATATTTAACATTGTTAAAAGATGCCTTTAAGAATTCTTCTTCCAAAAAGAGAATAGAGGTCTTTAGAATTCAATATGGAAAACCTGCCACCCCAACTCATGAAGGAAAATCTCTCTCGATCACCTCTGTGAGTTGAGTATCTGTTGAACCTGATACCAGTCGGTTGAACACATGTGTTAGTTCTTGTTCTACATTGATAACCGCGCTGTCCTTGAAGAGGGTGGGTCCGTTTGGCTGGTCCCATAACCACTGAAACAGTGTGCTTTGTAGAGGCAGAAGCAGGGCAGCAAAACAGTCTGATGAAAGCTGTAGGATAAAAGAAGAACTTTGTACTCCTTGCTGTCTATCTAATATCTATTATAGTGTAAACATGTTCAAATGTTCAACTAGCCGGTGACATTGTTCTTACAGGGATAAACAATACAGAGAGTAACAATTAGATATTTTCAACAACTCAATCTTGAGTATGGTGCTGCTGCTGTTTCTTGATTTCCTTTAAAACTAGATGGAACTTCGACTGCGCGCAGTCAAAAATGATGCCTCCGTCATAGAGCGATTTCACAAACCAAAACAGAATCAATTTTTCAAATTTAAGTTTAATGGTAGTCCATTAACAGGTTCTCAGAATATCGTGATTACAAGCTATTTTTCATATACATGTATGACCCTTTTATCTTTTATCTTTGACCTCATGACCATAAAATCTAATCATTTCATGGCTTTGCAAGATACATACATGACCTAAGTTGGCAGGAATCCATCAATCGGTTCTTGAGATAACGCGATCACAAGAACGGGACGTACCCGAAAACATAATGCCTCCGGCTACTTCGTAACAGAGGCATAAAGATTATTATCATTATCCAGTGATCGTAAAACCTGGAGGAGGGATTCTGCATCCCCCAATTTTTGTCTCCTTCTGAGTATACATGTATCATTAAGCTTGTGTAGTTGGAAATAATATATGATATGCTCAGACCACCCCCCCCTCCCCCCCCCCTCTCCCCCCCCCCCCCTCCCCTCCACAACACCAGCTAATTTTAACAATTACTCCACAGCCCTGTAGTCCACCAGTATGACTTCTGGAGTACAAAGGAAACGCAAAAGGGGTAACATGGACATCTTTCATTTCATCTTCCATTTACCAGCTGCATTCTGTTTGATGATTCCACATGACTGGACTTAAATTGAACCATCCTATTAGTCTTTCTCTACGTGTGATTTGATACATTTCATTCGATTTGATTTGAAATATTTGCAATACTCACCTTCAGAACTCTTTTATGCCTCTCAGTTTCATCTCTCGTAGTGGCCGTTTTGCTCCTTTGTCTTTTGAACTCTAAGGCCAATGCCATGAGTTTCTTCACCCATCTGCAAAGTCAGGAAACCAGACAATAATCCTATCAAATACAATTGATTATGGTATAACCTTCGCTTTCGATAGATCGTAGACCCCAACACAAGTTACCTCTGGCTTATATTGGTTAACATTAATATGGCTTAATTAAGTACCCAAGAAAAATTATTGTGTTTTATGTGGTATGCCACATTCAGAAGACAAAAAAAAACACTTTACTGAACTTACGACTTAAAATTTACTCTGATAGTGGCCTTTGAAAGACAATTTGTGATTTATTACTATGGGTTAAAAGCTGTATTGAGGGTCTAATTTATCAATCCAAATGTTTAAACAAGTGACACAATAATGCGGAAAAAAACACTTTACTGAACTTACGACTTAAAATTTACTCTGATAGTGGCCTTTGAAAGACAATTTGTGATTCATTACTATGGGTTAAAAGCTGTATTGAGGGTCTAATTTATCAATCCGAATGTTTAAACAAGTGACACAATAATGCGGACCATTTCTTATCAGTGCGCTTAGGAGGAAAAAAGAAAAGCCTGAACAAAATTGTCTCCTTTCTAAAAATGAAATATTATTTTGTTATCTGATTACTAATTTGTAGGCAAAGGGAGTGGTAATATGTGGTCAGAAAGATCAAACTTCAATTTAAGGCAGCATGATCATCCTTTTAAAGTACGAGTAGTTGGATCTACATTGGAACTTCTTTTCTTGTTTTCTTACTACCGGTAAACAATAATGATTTGAACTGTTTGTACCTTGCTTCTATGAGCAGCTGTTGATTATCTTCTAGGACTTTAATCCCCTGATCATCCGTCCAGTCCCATAGATCCCTCAGTAGTCTGTCCAAACAATCTGAAAATCAATCAAATCAAATATAGCAAATTATCATGTCACACACCATTAACACCAAACATAATTCTCAGACAACAAACTACATTGTACCATCGGACCAATCCACAGAGCTAATATACAACCAATTACAATGTCTGCTCTTTTCAATATGAATGCATACTACATATGTGCATGACTAGCAACAAATTCAACAGTACTGTATATAATATATACATATTAAAGCACATATTATGTGTTTTAATTGGCCTTCAAAATGTTGAGCATAATAATAAATCAAGTTCTGCTTTCATAATTTGCGTCTGAATGAGTTGGAAGTAATTTTAACACTAAAATCCATCCAATGAAAAATGTATTACTATTGTAAATGAAAAATTTGAAACAACAATAACCTTCATATCCGGCAAGCCTTTCTGTGATCCTCCAGGCACATTCCTTAAAGCTAACTACCCCTCCATCTCTGTCTCTTCCTAGCAATGTTTCTTTCACTTCTCTGGAAGTCTTGACAGCAGCTATCGCTTTCTCCTCCTCTTTTGCTAGCTTCTTACACCTTCCCTGTAGAGCATTGAGCTGCTGAATGAACAGTTGATGGCACTGTTCATCTAGGAAAGAGAGATCCTTGGAGAAAGGATCAGACTTAGTGCCTGAGGTTTGTCTATGCTCAGAGTCAGACAGATGCTTCCTTTCACCATCACACAAGTCGCCAAGAGATGATACGACTTCAAGGAGTACTAGAAAGATAGAGCTATCATCGAGTTGATTTGAATCGTCTTCTCTGGAAAGGGATGGTTGCAAGGAAACTGACCGGAATCCTAATGGAGCATTTGCTTGAAGGGATAAACGCTGGGTATAGAGTTGAAGAATGGTGCTTGGGTATCCTGACTCTAAACTTCCAGCAAAAGGCGATTCGTATACAGAGTTCTCCTCCTCAACTATACCTTTGAAACAATGCAGTTTGTCTTCCTCATAGTCTAAAATGTTAGAAATTGCTAGAAGTGTTTGGTACAAATAACTTGTTTGTTCCCCTTCACTCATCCCCCATGACTTGGCATTCCTGGATAATAATGCCACTTCCTTTAAAACTTCAATGCTCTCCATTGCATGCATCAAAAGGCACTTGTGTCCGTATGATAAGAATATCTGCATTGAGAGGGTAAAAATTTAAAATAAAATCAGTTAAATCAGTTTTAAATGTAAAGGGTGGGATGTCAATTTGTACTAGGATATTGAAATTAATATGGATAGGAATGAAATTTATGGAAGTGGGACAGGTCAGATTCCAAAAGGAGAGAGAAGAGGAAGAAATGGGAGTCAATGACGAGCAGGGGTAAGGAGTAGTTGGTACAGAATGAAAGAAAGGAGTGAGAATTAGATATTGGGTGGGGGGTGTCATGAAAAATACATTTAAAAAACAAAGAGTTTCTGGCACAAGAAGTTGATCAACAAAATAATCAGGAGATTGAACCGACAAATAATGGTCAAATTAGAAGTCGAACTTTAACTTCTTTGACCAGTTTTTTACCAAAGATGGTAACATTAATTTTACCTTTAAAAGAAAAAAACGGCCCCTGGCTCACACATAGGAGCATCACTATCCTGGCTGTGTAGTAAAAGCTGTGCTTTTGATTCTCAACATTTCAAACACCAACATACAAAACTCAACTGATTTCACTCAAAATCGGTACTTTAGTGATGATTGATGACACCTAGCAGTAAAATACATTTTTTTTAACTTACTGATTTACAAAGAATAATTTAAAAATTCAAATTGTAAGTCTAGTGTCAAACTTTGCTTACAGCTGCAACGACATGATTGTGTAGAGTCTATGCAATATTGTGTGGTGTGTGTATTTGTGTATGGGTCTAATAATACCTGCCTCACAGCAAGCATGCAGTGCTAGAGGTCAATACGCATTAATACTGGCCATGTCGCCACTATTATAAAAAAAATACTGGCCATGTCGCCACTATTACAAAAAAAATAGTGCTGGTGCTCACTAACATGGTCAAGATCAAGGTTTACATATTAGATGAAATCAGGGAAAAAATACACGGGGTTCGAGGCGAATCGGCCCCCAAAATGCCCAAAAGAGCCCCTGAAAAAAAGAGCCCCAAAATTTGCATAGAGTTCAATGCAAAACAAATTAGGCCTAGATCTAGATCTAAAGAGTGTTATTTTCATGCAAGCAAGCAAGCTTGAAAAGTAGCCCCTGAAATGTTTTTATTAATTTTTCCCTGGATGAAATGCAATGACATATGATGTACATTTATATACCTGGGTTCACCATTCACAAATTCACTGCACGATCGTGCACGGCAAAGAACCATGCCCCGTGACCCCCCCCCCCCTTATTTTTTTCCTCCACAAAATAGACCACGTCTGACATATAATTTAACACATGGGACTGAACGTAAAATTTCCAAAGTATCGAGAGATTTCCAAACATGATCACAACAGACCACATGAGTCTACAAATACTAAAATACTGATACTCGTATTTTAAATGGCTCTCATGAACTTAGAATTTGTACTTTCATTACCAATTTATTTCGTAAACTCCCGAAAAACTATCAAATGAGCAAGAAAATGGGTTTGAATTACCCTCCACAGCCTTGACTGAAGTAATCGACTAGTATAAGATCATATGCTTGATCTGCGTGATTGAGCGCACGAGCCGCGCGCGGCCTTTGATAGTTTTGTTATGCAATGATCACATTCTCAATACTGTATTGTGAAAGAATCGAATTTGATCAATTCACTTATTATGGACAGTGGCGGATCCAGGGGGGGGGGGTCCGCCCCCCCCCCCCCACGAAGAAAAAAACGTGTAAAAACACGTTAACTTTTTGGGGGGAGATGCCCCCCCCCCCCCCTGGCGCTCAATTTTTCGAGGACCCCCCCCCAAAAAAATGTGCTCACTACCCCCCCCCCCCCCTCCCCCCTCCCCCCCCCCCCCCCCCCCCTCTGAGCGAATTCTTGGCCGACGCGATTTTCAAATTTTCGGGAGCAAAAAGGAAAACAATTGGGCCCCCACCCCTAAGAAATCCTGGATCCGCGCCTGATTATGGATACTTTAAAACTTAGGAAAGAGTTTTTGACACCCTGTATGATATTTGTCTCCTTTTTTCTGTGAAAAAATAACTGAAATGAATCAAACCCTATTTTATGCATATGCAATTTGCATTTAACAATGGATTTACTAGATCTAATGAAATCCACGAATTAACACAATCGATGTTATTCATTTAATATCAACAGTGGTATTGGCCTACTTTTTTTTAATTCCTTCTTTCACGTTTGTTTGCCCTTTCACCATTCTCCTCCCCCTTCTCTCTCTCTCTCTCTCTCTCTCTCTCTCTCTCTCTCTCTATATATATATATATATATATATATATATATATATATATATATATATCTCGTCGACATATTGGGGAGAAAGAGACTTCCTCATTATTGTTACCTATATATTCCCTTTCCTAGATCTTAGCCCCTCTCTCCTCTTTCTTACTCTCTCTCTCTCTCTCTCTCTCTCTCCCTCCCCTACCCCCCCCCCTCTCTCTCTCTCTCTCTCTCTCTTTCCCCTCCCCTCTCCCCTCCCCCTCTCTCTCACTCTCTCTTTCTTTCGTTCTCTCTCTCTCTTTCTCTTTCTCTCTCTCTCTCTCTCTCTCTCTCTCTCTAGTCGACAGCCCAGCGATGAGAACTTAAAGAGCAGTACGGGGGGGGGGGGCATTTTCATTTTTAGTTTGTTTACAAAGTCAAGTTAAGCATCGCTTATGATTGCAGTCTGCCAGTCTCCTGTACCTTTTCAACAGATAGTTTGGATGATACTTTAAATTTATGATAATAATTATAAAAATATTAAATTTCGTTATTATATGTACGGATGTAAAAAAAAAAAAAAAATTGAAATTTTGAAGTTATAATTGTTTGTATATTTTGTATTATACCTTACGTTTATATGTTCTTTGTTCTTCAGTTATCATATTTGAAAAAATGCAGAAATAAAATTAAAAGGTAAAAACGTTACTATCTTTTGTTTAAACCTGTTTTTTGCCAGGGGGGCGGGCCTGTAGGGCACCCCTAACTCCCCCCCCCCCCCCCCCCGTGGATTCGCGCCTGGTTGCACTGAAGGAGAGGATCGAGCGGGGCTTTAAAAACAATATATTATTGCTAACCTACTGACCGGAAAGTTTATGGGAAACTGAGCGCAATCGATCTGAACTCATGTTCACAATTTCACAATTCATTGAAGTTAACATCACATGAAAAATGAATATAATATAAACAAAGCATTTTCAATTTTACAATCCATTTGAATTGACTTCACGTGAAAAAAAGAATATAACAATGTTTTATCAATTAAAGACAAGTTGCAACTAATATACAGTTTGAAGAATGAACACACAAATGTGATGAAACATAATAAGCAAATAGCAAATAGCAAATAGAGCTTGAATCGTTACAACACCTTTCAAATATATACATGTAGTATATGACAAATACAATTCCTAAAGTTAGGGATCACGAAGTTAGGGGGGGGGGGGGGGGTAGTGAGCACATTTTTTTTTTTTTGATCCTCAAAAAAATTTCAATTTGCACCCCCCCCCCTTGAGCGCCAGGGGAGGGGGCCCAACCCCCAAAAAAGGTAAAAATCCCGTGATTTTACATGATTTTTTTCTCAAGGGGGGGGGGGGGGCCGGCCCCCCCCCCCCCCCCTGGATCCGCCACTGCATCAACGTGCATCAAATTCTACACATGTCCGCTCCCAGAGAGACCAGAGACGCACGAACCCAGCCTGTCACCTTTATGCCGACTTGCACATGCTAACAAGGGCGTAGCCAGGATTTTTTAAGGTGAGGTGTTTTTTTTTCCCCCAATTCGTGAGAAAATATTAGCGATGAATCAGCCAGCCGGTGAATAAGCGGGGAGGGGGACTGCATTCATGTTCCTAAAATCTCCGGTAAAGGGGTACTTTTCAAGCAACAAAGTCCGGCTCGTAATATACACAACAACAAAAATCAGCCCGTATTGACTTTACACACCGGACTTAAGGGGGTGGGGGGGGGGGGGGTGCTTTCAAAGGAAGGAAACATGCATACGCGAACCCTAAATAACACTGAGTAGGGGGGCGGTAAGCACTATTTTTGTTGGCTCAACGGGGGGGGGGGGGAGGGGTGAACACTCCTTTTTTTCAACATGTTTTACTTTTTTGCCAGGAGGTGGGGGGAAAAGATGAAAGACAGATAAAGGTTGTCTTTAAAATGATAAAACACCACCCTTTTGCCAGAGGGGGGGGGGGGTGTTGAATACCTAAAACACCCCCTGTTTGCCAAGGGGGGTGTTTGTGAACACCCAAAACACTCCCTCGATATACGCCAATGCATGCTAATATAATCACAGTGACACTCGCATCCTACTGGGTACCAATTTTAGCACCTGGGTGCAGGGGAGGAACATTGTATGCCTTGCTCAAGGATGTGAGTGCCATCACGCCGAGGCTCGAATCGACGATTTTTGCATTCTTAGTCAAGACATAGTGATTAAACCACTCTACTACGACACCTAAAACAGATTCAAAACGTTAAGTTGAACGAAATCCCCCCTTTCGTGCGTTTTTTCATTCAGTTTGAGCTAATATATATAATTTTCCATATCATCGTAACATTTTATGGCTGACACGAAATTTTGGTTGAAGGGTTGTTATCCGTATAAACAAAAATCGGCCGTACTGTGACGTATCTTGCGG